ATCGGGAAGGACGCAATGTACAAGGATAGGAGAATTTGTCAGCCACCAAGAGGCTCTTGACTTCGGAGTTCCTCAAGGGAGTATACTGGGTCCCACGTTATTCTTAATATACGTAAACCAGCTCTGTGACCTACAGTTACCCCACTCTCGAATAATAGCCTATGCAGACGACACGGTTCTGGCTGTCTCAGGAAATGATTGGGCTGAGGCTTTCGCTTTGGCTGAAAATAATTTTAAAATTATCATGAATTGGCTAAGGCTTAACCTTCTTACGCTGAACGCAGATAAAACTAAAGTTTTAACTTTTTCAATTCGCTCTTCTACACAACCTCCGCATGAAGGCCTTCAGATACGTGCCCATAAATGCTCCAGTGGGTCCCTAAACTGCGACTGCCCCCAGTTACAAAATACAACCATAATGAAATACCTGGGTATACAGGTAGATCACTGCTTAAACTGGCANACTAAATGTATCAAATTTCACTCCAACTTATTGTCAACTCAACGACGCGCTTTAAAATCAAAGATTGACTTTGAATTATGCCTTATTTTAAATACACATTGAAAACAATATGACTTGCTTGAGCTTTTTTGACTTTTTCACAAAAATAACAAATAGGCATGAAGAGATTACAAAATTTCTGCAGCGACTGACAGTTCACTTGATTTACTTTGACAGGTGACAATAAAGCCATAGACATTTGCCATATGAAAGACACACTTTTCCAATATTTTTGTTTGCCATGAGATTCACCTCTCTTGAAGAAGTTGGATGCACTGGGTGTAAGAGGGTGTGCGTTAAGCGTTTTTTCCGATTATCTATCGGGAAGGACGCAATGTACAAGGATAGGAGAATTTGTCAGCCACCAAGAGGCTCTTGACTTCGGAGTTCCCCAAGGGAGTATACTGGGTCCCACGTTATTCTTAATATACGTTAACCAGCTCTGTGACTTACAGTTACCCCACTCTCGAATAATAGCCTATGCAGACGACACGGTTCTGGCTGTCTCAGGAAATGATTGGGCTGAGGCTTTCGCTTTGGCTGAAAATAATTTTAAAATTATCATGAATTGGCTAAGGCTTAACCTTCTTACGCTGAACGCAGACAAAACTAAAGTTTTAACTTTTTCAATTCGCTCTTCTACACAACCTCCGCATGAAGGCCTTCAGATACGTGCCCATAAATGCTCCAGTGGGTCCCTAAACTGCGACTGCCCCCAGTTACAAAATAAAACCATAATGAAATACCTGGGTATACAGGTAGATCACTGCTTAAACTGGCAGTCAGGTGGAATCCGTAGCATGTCGATTGCGTAAGATGATCTTCATCTTCAAGACTTTGCGCAATTCCGCAGATAGAGATATCCTGTCAACAGTCTACTCAGCGCTTTGTGAGTCAATCCTTTCCTACTGCATCCCAGTGTGGGGTGGCACCTCCAAGACAACCTTCATTAAAATTGAACGTGCACAAAGAGCAGTACTTAAGGTTATGTATAGAAGGCCCTGGAGATATCCAACCGCACAACTGTATGAGGAATGTAATCTACTCACGGTTAGACAATTACATATCCTTCGGACCACCCTGTGGCTACACCCGACTATACCAATAAACTGTCCATCAGAGTCTAGACGTCGTCCCAAACCACCTTGTCCTGCAACCAAGTCAGGTGGAATCCGTAGCATGTCGATTGCGTAAGATGATCTTCATCTTCAAGACTTTGCGCAATTCCGCAGATAGAGATATCCTGTCAACAGTCTACTCAGCGCTTTGTGAGTCAATCCTTTCCTACTGCATCCCAGTGTGGGGTGGCACCTCCAAGACAACCTTCATTAAAATTGAACGTGCACAAAGAGCAGTACTTAAGGTTATGTATAGAAGGCCCTGGAGATATCCAACCGCACAACTGTATGAGGAATGTAATCTACTCACGGTTAGACAATTACATATCCTTCGGACCACCCTGTGGCTACACCCGACTATACCAATAAACTGTCCATCAGAGTCTAGACGTCGTCCCAAACCACCTTGTCCTGCAACCACCACTAATNTATAAGAGTGGGGACAGAGCCAGTGTTAATAATTACCGTCCAATCTCGGTGTTGCCTACCTTGTCCAAGATTTTTGAACGTTTTCTGAATCGCCGTCTGGTTTCCTTCCTCGAAGCAAATAACCTAATCTCAAATAATCAATTCGGTTTCAGGAGAGGAAGGTCTACCGAGGACGCTGTGGCCTCACTTGTAGAATACGTAGTCAGCGAGGTTGACGGTAATAGAAAATGTCTAGGCATTTTCCTGGATCTCTCCAAGGCTTTTGACACTGTCTCTGTCCCCTTACTCTTGAAGAAGTTGGATGCACTGGGTGTAAGAGGGTGTGCGTTAAGCGTTTTTTCCGATTATCTATCGGGAAGGACGCAATGTACAAGGATAGGAGAATTTGTCAGCCACCAAGAGGCTCTTGACTTCGGAGTTCCTCAAGGGAGTATACTGGGTCCCACGTTATTCTTAATATACGTAAACCAGCTCTGTGACCTACAGTTACCCCACTCTCGAATAATAGCCTATGCAGACGACACGGTTCTGGCTGTCTCAGGAAATGATTGGGCTGAGGCTTTCGCTTTGGCTGAAAATAATTTTAAAATTATCATGAATTGGCTAAGGCTTAACCTTCTTACGCTGAACGCAGATAAAACTAAAGTTTTAACTTTTTCAATTCGCTCTTCTACACAACCTCCGCATGAAGGCCTTCAGATACGTGCCCATAAATGCTCCAGTGGGTCCCTAAACTGCGACTGCCCCCAGTTACAAAATACAACCATAATGAAATACCTGGGTATACAGGTAGATCACTGCTTAAACTGGCATAGTCAGGTGGAATCCGTAGCATGTCGATTGCGTAAGATGATCTTCATCTTCAAGACTTTGCGCAATTCCGCAGATAGAGATATCCTGTCAACAGTCTACTCAGCGCTTTGTGAGTCAATCCTTTCCTACTGCATCCCAGTGTGGGGTGGCACCTCCAAGACAACCTTCATTAAAATTGAACGTGCACAAAGAGCAGTACTTAAGGTTATGTATAGAAGGCCCTGGAGATATCCAACCGCACAACTGTATGAGGAATGTAATCTACTCACGGTTAGACAATTACATATCCTTCGGACCACCCTGTGGCTACACCCGACTATACCAATAAACTGTCCATCAGAGTCTAGACGTCGTCCCAAACCACCTTGTCCTGCAACCACCACTAATACTGTTTTCGCTGATAAACAGCTGCACAACTTAAGCACAAAATTGTATAATAAACTAGACAAAATATTACAAATACATAAATTAAACAAGTTTGAGCTTAAAAAGAAGTTAAGATTGTACCTGCAAAATCTTGGCTACACTGACACTGAGGATTTGTTGTCCTAGACAACAACACACACATACACTTACACTTATATACATTACACTTACACATACCTACACATACACTTACACACACACATACACACGCTTATACAACAAGCAACACTCACAGTTCTCTGTCGTCTTATTATCTACTTTATATTTCTTTTGTTAAATTCACATATCTTTTCACAGTAATGTTTAAACTTAGAAAATTGTAAGAATTCTCATACCCATATCGCGAGCCGAACCACTGACCCTTCAAAGCTCAGGTTTTTCCTATTTTGAAGGTCAGGGGAACAACAAATTTGCTTAAACACGAAGTTGTTAATTAACGTGATTAAGATTTTAAGCTTATTAGTGTAATTGGTTTGGAAATAAACTATTTATTATTTATTATTATCTCCTTTATTAATTTTCTTTCTTATTTTTAATTTTTTCTTTTTACAATGTAATTATCAAAAAATAAAAATACATTATAAAAACAAAAATCTTAAAAATAGTTAACCCGCTGGCAGCGGAGCAAGGCCCAAACTACCGGTGGTCAGGGTCACAGGCTGAGGAACCTCCGGACAATGCGTGCAATTATTATTATTATTATTATAATTTGCAATGATGAGAAAGACAAGCGGCAATTCTCGTTAAGAATCATCATCATCATTACAGCAGTTCACTTGGACATATGTCTCCTCCAAATACGCGCCGCTTTACCCAGTCTTCGGATTTTCGTATCCAGCTACAGACCTTTCGCAGATCGTCACTCCGCCTACCTGAAAGGTGTCTTAACACAACGCTTGCAGAGTCGCAGTCTCCACTCAAGAACTCTTACCTCAGTGTTTTAGGAGTAACTTATTTTATGCTTTCTTAGTAGTTTGCCATTATGTAGCAGTAGTCTGTGGACTCACATTCATTTCTTTTCCACAGTTGGAAAAGCACGCGGCGCTCATAAAACTGTGGGTAGATTTCAAAGACGAACGGGAGAGAGCTCGTTTATACAGAGAGAAGATGCACAACGCAGCAACAGTAGTCCAGGCTTGGTGGCGAGGTTTATTGGTCAGGAACCAGCTGGGACCTTACAAGCCAATGCCCAAGAAAGGTGGGAAGCCAGCACCTGCAGAGAAACCAGGGAAGAAGAAGAAGTAAAGAGGTTCCATGGAAAAATTTTGCCTCGTTTTTCGTACCACATGATATTAGTTATCTTTGTAATCATTTAATTTGTTTATGTCGTTTATTTTGTAATTTTGTCTAACTTATTTTAATTTGTTGCTATTTATTTTTGTAATGATGTTGATTGATTTTGATAAATTAATATTAATTTGTAGCTTAGCTTTATTTGAAATTAAATACCTCTATTCTAAAAGATTCCTCGTGTATTATTGTAATTCATTGCGAAATTCAATGCTGAATTAAAATTAAAATATTGTAATTCAAGAGAGATTCCGCTATTATAACCATAAACCGGTCCATAACTTGGGAGAATTTATTTAATTTTATTTTACCAAAAAGGTTAAAAAGCTTTTGCTGCCAGTACAAAAGTAATTAAAAACTATTGTTTTTTTACTATTCCTTTTTACAGGACATTGACACGATTGATTGATTAGTATGGTGGATTGAATTCCTACTGCTACAGTGTTTCCTAGTTTTTATGAAAAGTTTACAAATAAGCTTCATTATAGTGAGTATTAGGTATGTCTACTACGCCAGCTTCTGAGGAAGGTGAAAATGATGTCTCTAGCAATAAGCCATGGTAATGATAAATGTTTGCCATCATAAAAATCAATTTGAATCGTTAACGTGAGGAGCACTTTCTTAGATTTCTGTTTTTTTTTTAGTTTACTTTATCTACAGTCATCGTTATTTGCTTCAGTGTTAGAAGATACTATAACAGAGTTAAGGGTTCTAGGTAAGTTAAATGTTATACTTCCTTATTAAACTTGCTGCTACACAGCATAGAACACCACTCGGCGGACGCTACGGGCCGCGTCCAGCTTGTGTTTCATTCGTAACTCTACCAAGTTTTGTTTGCAGTCGCTCGAGAAACCTGAAACGAAACTACTGAGGAAAATACAGACTTATTCGCAGTAGTGATTTTTCTCGTATGCCTGCCTACTTCCCATAACTCTAATGAACTCTATTACAGCCGAGACTAACAATGAGCTGCGCATACTCAAGGCTTGGTCAGATATGGGTGTGCTGCGCAGCATCAAATATGGCATCGACCTGCCGCCTGTCACCGATGAGCTGGAAGGCATTGACCCCCGAAATCTTGGCTGCAATGAGTATAAGCTCAATAAACTAGATGCCGACAGGTAAGTCATATGAGAGTTACCTGCTGTAACCAGGGCAGTTACTGTCTGGCCACCACTTAAAAAAAACTGAGACACAGAGTTGGGCTTCAGACATGAAACCTCTGTTACGTCACGGTCACACGTCCTATTCCACTACCAGAGGAACCTCAGTTAAGCTGTAATTGGTTATACCTTGCAGGAAATTGGCGATCAATGTCGTGATTGGAACGTACAAAGACCTCAGCATGCACAGGACTTACTCTGCTCTGCACAACCACGTAAAAAGCGTCATTCAGCTGGATACGTACCGCGAGGAACTGGAAGAGGACGAAGCTAAAAATAGAATGTTGGTTCCATAAATTACTTTTTAACAGTAGATATCTACCAAGATTTGGTCCGTTCTTTAAAGCATAAAGTTTATAAATATCGTTTGTTTAGCCTCCGCCATGACCTGATGAAGCAAATGAGGCAGCAGCGGAACCACATCAAATCGGTGCTCTACGACACCGACGCCACCATTGACGACCTGAAAACACTAGTTGAAGTATGCATCTTTAATTTTCTACAGGAGCTTCATTCCTACATTGAGGTTTTTACGTTTTGTTGATCTCTCCAACTTCGGACTACTTAAGGAGTAAAGAAATCATGGCTGTCTTTCGAGTAGCTGTACCTACATCCGACCTTTACCAGATCGTCGGTCCCACAGATGTCGGTCCACTTAGTGGGCCTACCCACGCTACGTCTTCCAGCCCATGGTCGCCACTCGAGAACTTTTCTGCCCCAACGGCCATCGTCTCTACGAGCTATGTGCCCCGCCCTCTGCCACTTGATTTTAGCAATTCTGCAAGATGACTTGATTTTAGCAATTTATCTTGATTTATCAGGATGCTCTCCTCTACTCCGAGTGCCGCAGCCGCTACGTGGACAACTGGCAGCGTGCGCGCACCGAGCAGCACGTCCAGACCATAAAGGACACTGAGAAAGGCCCCTCGGAGTCCATCGAGTACTACAAGCAGAGGACCGACCACGAGCAAAGGGTGCACTCTGAAGTTGAAGTGCTCATCAATATTGCTATTAATGTAACTATTTTTTTTCTGCTTCGAAGTATCACGAATTACGAAATAAAAATGAAGTAACTACCTAGGTATTTTCCTAGCTAACTATATGCCGTGCGTCATTGATTAAATTAGTTTCTAAACTGAATGAAGCAATGCGCTTTAAACTTTTGGCAACTAATAAATTCTGACATCGAGCGAGGTGGACCGACGATCTGGTGAAGGTCGCGGTCTTTATTCAGAAAGAATTAAGAAATTCTTGGGGGAGGCCTTTATCCAGCAATGGAGTCTTCGGCTGAAACGAACGAACGAAATTCTGACATCACTTTTGTTGTGACTTCAGTTCAAAGCTATGATATTCTTACAGGAGACCCTGGAGAAGGTCGACCAGTGGATGAACAAGTACGACAAAGACATGGAGGGGATCGACCTGAAGATACAGATCAGGAAGAATGAGTATCAGAATATGTATGACAAGAGGGTTGGACTTGAAGAAACGGTAATCACTTATTCGTCTTAATTTTTACGAAATATTATTTTAATCCAACATACATAAGTAATTCATTTGACCTCATCCAACAGTAGACCACTTCATCTGCAAATCGCATCGCCACTTCTGTAGAAACCTAATAATACCTGGGCAATTCTTAAATTTGTGCCAATTTTTTTTAAAAAATTAAAGATTTTTTTTTTAACTTTTTGCGATGTGTATCGAAAGTATAAACCAAAAGCATACTTTTGATGTATATGGACAACCTTAAAGCCCTCGGAAAGGAAACAAAATAGCCTACGTAAACACGGCTGTGACACTGCATGACATGGATGTGACAGTTTTACATTTTTACTGTAAATAATAATATTTATGTTGTTAAATTTATATCATAATAGTTTAAATTGATTAACAGTAAAATACACTAAATTCGTTTCATCAACAAAGGTGTTATTTGGTAATGTGTACTTTTTTCTGAACATCNCCGCGAGAAGATGACCAAGTCAGCCATCATTGTGCAGGCGTGGTGGCGAGGGCTGCTCGTGCGACGCCAACTCGGCCCTTACAAGGTGTCCAAGAAAAAAGGCGGCGGAAAGAAAAAATAATAACTTAGAATGAAGAATAACATGATTTTTCCCTCTGTTTTTTTCCTTGTTTGTTGATTTTTTTAGTTGTATGATTATTATTAATAAATAGTTACATGGTTATTATTAATAAACTTGTTATTAAACCTAGGCAGTGTTATTTTTTTACTCGTATAGTGGAAAATCTAAACATTTATTAATAAAGATTCACCTCGTATTCTTCTGAAAGGTGAACAAGAAAGATGATTCAACGAAAAGAATTTCCACAGCATTATTATTATGGTCAAAAATAAAGTGACCGTGGCCGTGGCCATAAATATTATAAAACTTTGGTGCAGTTGGTTGTTTAGTCCCTCTCCTTGGCCTCTTTGCTCGAAGTACAAAATAGGACAACAATTCGATTTACTCTAAACTTGCACTTACTCAAGTGTCGCATCACTATTGGCAACGTCAATTTGGTCACGTGACTTATCTAGCCAATCACAAAACCGCATTCTGACAAGTAAAATGCAACTAACTTCATGTGAATACAGAAAAGTTATATTTTCAGCTTTATTTACTAATTTGATATGCCGAAAAAAGAAAAGGTAAGCTAAGGGAAACGAAAAAAGAGTATAGTTTACACACCCGACGTGAAATAACTTTATCGGGCAGCAAAAATATTTATTTCATGTAATCAGTGAACCTTCAGGTTAGAAATACTTTGCCATGTCAGTTCGTTTATGGTATGCGGTTCTGCATAATTTACGTGTGTAAAATCATCGTTTATTGGTGATCCGGAATCTTAAATTGGTGTTGTGAGAGTTTCAGTGTGAATTGTTGTTCGCAGGAGGCGATGAAGACTAAAATTGACAAAAATAAAAGCGGAGATAGCGACACGGAGGTAAGTTTGTTTCTTACAAGATAAAATTCTTACTGTGATCTTGTTGGTGCTCCGTAGCCCTGAACCGATATTAATTTATCGTTCGCGCATTTGGAATCAGGTTTCTGCAGAAACTTGTCCTGTGTCTTTTAACTGTAATCATTTGTAGATAGTAAACTTGGGAATTCTTTTGCCGATTTGTTAAATTGAATTTTGTCGTAGCTGTTTTTGCAGCTATTTGAGTATGTGTTATCTATTCCTATCTACCAATTTTACAATTAGACAATTGCGTGATCGAAGTACTGCTAGGTTATTGTAGATTATAATTATTTTCATATTATTTTGCTTCAAATTACTTAGCATTTCCATAATTGAATATTTACCTCCATAATTTGCAATAATGCAAAATGCTTTCATAACAAACAACAAAGCAAACAGACACTAAAATTTTGTAATCCTGTTCTTTGCTCCTGTTAGTAAATAAAAACTCGAATCAAAGTGAACCGAAGAAGACCTATTGGATTGCTTTAATTTGTTTCAATTAGCAGAAAAGTACATACCTACATACTTTTATTAACTTATAAGTCGTTTTTATTTAGTTTTAATGTTTTACTTGTATGTTTTGGACTGTAGAAGTAATAAAATTATTATAAAAATTGATTTTTGTAATGTTATAGTTTGTATAAACAGACGGTACTGTAACAGGTTAACAAGATAAGTCTGTCCATCAAGTATGCTTGTGGAATTGCAAATGGTTACTATAAATTTATAAAGTATAGGTAAATAAGGAAACATAAAATGTTATAAGTATTATAAGACAGGAAATAGTCCGGTCATATTATACAAACTTTATAATTATTAAGAGCATTTATTTATTAACCAAACTTGGTTATGAATCTACTCTCAGCAAAAGCGAATCCAAATATTATTTTTTAATCACTGCTAGTAAACTGACAACCAATTTGGAGATTTCTTTTCAATTTTTACCATAATTAGAACCTAAATATTATATATCATTCAATATAACCATTTTTAATGATATAACAAATCAAAGTTATCTTAATTGAATTGAATATTATCTCTGCTATTCACACAAACGGTTACAATGTTTTTCAATTATATTTCCTTAGCTGTTACTACTTTTAAAAGGTTACATCTGCCTTTGATAATTTAAATAAAACATAAGTTTAATAAACAATGTTGCATAAGCCTTGAAACAGTAATAATATAATCTTTTACATGTTTATTGCGGGAGATTCTACATTTCTGGTGTATCTACCATAGTTCTTATGTGTCGGTTACACATTTCTTTTAAAAGGAGAATTCTATGAGATGTCTGATTTTTGGGTTACTATTTGTATCTTTTAAATATAAACATGCACCTTGGAAAAAGACAGGTAAGATAATAATAGACATGTGCCAGACAGTGCATTACAAGTGATCTTGATGCAGGGGCCAACACTTTTGTGTTACTTATGGAATATTTTATAGATTAGGCAATCTGTGACTGTTAATGCTCATGTTCATTACAAAAAATTGCCTCTAGTGTGATTCGAACCCGCAACTTTATCATTTGGTACGCTAAACGCCATATCAGATATTGTGACCTAATGTACCTATGTCAGGCCGTTATTTAAACCCATTACTAAATATTATGTCACTCTAGTTCTGTAATTATTAAACTTCAGAATGTTTTCGCCTCTGTAATATATGCCGTCATCTCCGGAATGTAATCTCCGTTTTGATGGTAAACACTGTTTTATCATTCAAATGTAAATAGCCAGTTTGCAAGCTTTGGCATCTCGCGCGTCGTCACGCAGTGAGTGCGTCGGTGCGCGGGCGCAATCCACGCGCGCATTCGCCATTCGCGATTTTCGAAACGTTCTAAATTTAAATTTTTACTCGCTCCCGTTCTCACATGCGGAATTTTGTGGATAGTAAATTGGAAAACTTGTGGCTTTTGCACGTAGGTACTTTTGCATGTTCTTGTTTGATACAGTTGTTTTCCATTGTTGTTGATCAAAACATGCTGCCTTCCACCAAGTTGTAAACACCAGTTCGAGTTCGTTTTCAATAGTCTAGTAACGTTTTACCAAGTGGAACCATCATACGCTTAATGTGACTGGTTTTCACGGTTGAATTTCAATAACATGATTAAATCGAGTGCTCGCAGTCTAGAATGTACCGGATTTGCATAAAAAGGCTCCAAAGGCGTTGTACTAATTTAATTAGAGATTATAGGAGGCCTAAACCGTAATATGTGTCGTACTTATGTATGTATATATTATTTACCTTTGTGCTATTAAACACAAGGTGAATTTACTTTGTTTTTATTATTTTACTGGATGACAGAAGATAACAACTGATAAAGAATTAACATGTAAATAAGTAATATGTAATACTGCCTACACAACCTCTTAAAATTTTTCTAATTGGAATGTGTTGGTAATTGAATCCCAATCTCATAAGAAGAACATTAACAATACGATGACAAATAACCTGTTAGACTATAATTTAATAGGCAATTAAACTAAACGACTTTCTTTTATGACTGCGGCATATTCCTACATTAAAGTTGTTTTTATAGGATAATAGAAAATATAACATAATCTTCCGCTTGACTTACGCAATTTCAAATACAGCTGGAACAACTAGTACGTACAACTTAATTAATACGCCGGTGAAGAGAAGCAATTTCGGCAAGAAACACACCTTTCTCAGTAATCCAAGAGTTCCACTCTGTCGCCTAATTTGTACTAAGTGTCCACTCGGAACCTACTTACCATAATACGATGTGGTTAGGAATGGCACTCCAGTACAGTACAGATGAAACACGGTACGCTTGACTCAACAGACGCTGCACCGCTCCCACTACTGTAATGTATTTAGAATCCATGGTTTCGGAAGCATAATGTGTTTCCGTGTGTTCTACTCGCATCGTATTTAGTTATTTAATTTACCATAATACGATGTGGTTAGTAATAGCACTACAGTACAGATGAAACACGGTACGCTTGACTCAACAGTGAACAGACGCTGCACCCACTACCGCAATGTAGGTAGAAGAAGCCATGGTTTTGGTTCGGAGGCGTGATGCGTGACCAGTAGGTTTAGTCCGGCAGTTTCCGTATTCTTTGACCTATCCCATCTCTCTCATTCAAAGCAGATATTGGCATGAGAGATGGAGACAGATAATTTGACTATCTGCAAAGGGTGTTATGAAGTAACGGTACAAATTCTACATGCAGCAGGCGATGTGTTTCTATTAGTATTATTTGAAACTAGCGGCCTTGAAATAGTACGCGTAGCGCTTTACTTTTAGGGGTGGAGTTTGGTAAAATCCGTTCTTAGTGGACCCTTTATGGAACCTGCCTGCCAAGTTTAAAGTTTCTGAGATACTTTCAGTTAACACGTGTTTGGAAGCTTCTTAGCTTTCGAAGCAAAGCATTTGTCACAAAACTCACGAGAACCCTTCCTTATCGAAGACCACAGCTAAAAGCAATCAATCATCCAGATAACTGTTCGCCTGAGCTCTGTGGTGTACTGTTAAATCCGCTCTTCATTTCTATGCTAATAGATTCATCTCTCCCATTCCACATCTGCAGAATTTTATCCGATGCCGTCCGGCGACACTTTCACTATCTCGCGATCGGAAACAGGCTTCTTAAGTCCATATTAATTCGAGTATCAACAGTATACGTAGATGATATAGTATAATACAAACCAATCGGTTCGGACACGCCTTTTCGATGTCGAGTGAATTTTGGCGTAATCCCGCTTTACGTAAGTACAGCAGGCTATTATTATAAATCAAGCATAATTAATGTTTGCATCTAATAAACAATATTATTAAAGTTCTATCCAAACTAATCTGAGTGCAGTTGTACTATAGCGACTAGATAACGAATACTGGGAAGTACCTAGCAAGTCTAGCATCTATTGCTAATAATAGTCATGCATATAAATATCACTGTTATGATAGAAAATGTTCCAGGTGCTGAAATATATTTTTGTTACCATTAGATTTTAGTAGGTACCCAACATAGTAGGTACATGTAAAGTTTTATATGTGCAACTACATAATTCACTCCTAGACACAAACGACTTACAGCAAAATTATGTATGATTTTAAAACTAGCTACAATTTAGTAAATATGTCGTTTTCCTGTACATAAAAGAAGTTCTTACCAACCAAGGTTAAGTGTGACAGAAGATAGCAATTAAAAATACATTAAAGCTATCTGCTCTAAACCAACAACTACTTGCGACGTTGTCAGTTTACAATTATTATTTATTTGAGTTGAGGTAATAATCATAGTGACATCTCAGAAATATTATATTTTTACTGTGTTACGTAATTTGGTTTTACACAAGGAATTTACACATGCTCGTACTAAAACCACAGAATAATAATGTACTACGTACAGAAGTTTTAATTCTTAATAATTATTTACTTCGCGAAGGTATTTAAAAAATGTATGCTCAATTTCATTAACAATATGGTGTAATTTAGCCTGTCTCAAGAGTCAAGCACCATTTTGTTGACAAACGTCAGTGATCGGCACTGCGCCGAAGCTATAGGGCTGACTTCGGTAAAATGATGTGACGTGAGGTGCCAAACTGCGGAAAATGGCGGAGGAAATACATGATTTAGCATGAATTATCATGAATAATAGTAACTACTTATTTACCTTTCAGTGTCTTGAGGCAACTTAAAAAAGTACATTCTGTGTTTTTATTATTATTTAGGCAGTTAAATACTGCACAGTAGTTAGTACACCATTTTCTTTATTTTCTTCCATCATACACAAGAATACGCGTGCGTGAGTCAATGTTCGCTCGTATGTGAGGCCTTGTCGAATAGTGTCCTGTAGGTGGGCCATCGTGCGTGTTTTGTTTTCGATGTAAACTCGCGGAGATGAACAGGCCTGCTAAAACGAGCAGCAGAACACTATTTATTTATTTAAGAAAGAATATCGACTAAACCTTCCTTGCTCGTACTTATAACAATGTTATATTTT